TTAAAGATGCTCCAGCTTCAATTTAAGATATTCTATCAACAACTTCGAGTGCTTCTTACTCAGTAGCAGATGTGCGATGTGCGATGTGCTCTTCGTTGTCTAGCAATTCAGCGGCTTTCGACTTTTGGCGGCTTCCTCATATCAGTGTGGATGTGACAGAACGAATTTATTAACAATAATTTCAAAATTGCCAATGCCGCAGACATACATGGTCACTCACGTTTTTATCTGCTTATCACATGCAGTACACGGATTTAAGTCCAACTGTGTGCACACCAATTCCTTAACAACGTGTCCAAATGTACGTAACATGACTTTTCTCCTTCTATGTGACGATTATGTCCAGCAGGTGCCGCCCAATCACCCTACAACTGACTGTCGGTTAGGGCATTGTTCATTGCCTATCAAACAAGTTATTTCATTACTTGAACGAAACGTCGAAGACACAGCAACGTTAGTCGCACATTCAAGAAAAATATGGCATTTAGTATGTCTTCTTCACACATTCGGAACTCGAACGGCTGACTCCTCGAACGATTCGAACGGTAAGAGCAATTCCTATATGAATTATTTCCAGCACATTACCAAAAACAAAATAAATATAAAAAAAAACAAAAGAAAAAAGGGAAACAGAAGGGGAGGCTGTGTTGCAAGAGACTATTCAGCGTTAAAATGTGCCGCACAGTCACTTGCTTTACGATTTGACCTTCAGCCACAAACCACTATTTTTCATCATCCAACTTCAGTGGTACTCTGTCCATAGCGTTGCAGTTGTTAGGCTAGTGACGATGGATGACCCTCAGAGGCGCATTTATCTAGTTCTATCTATGCTTTGCGGTCGTGCTTGGTGTACATGACAGCACATGAGCACATCACTGCGTTTTCGGTTATCAATATTTGCAGTGGCACGTATCCCCTTTTCGCTGTTTGTTGACCGATATTTTTATTATCGCACTAAAATCGCTTTTAAATCGCCTTATAGTACTTGACTTTGCTCATCGTTGCGAATGATTTGGTGGTGCGACGGTCGAAATCTTATGTGTCATTAGGATTTTTGGACCGACCAAGATTAAAATGCTGGTCATGTACGCAACGCAAAAATAATTTTTCGTTCTTGTCTTCTGCATTTTTTACTTATCGCATGCAAGCAAGAGGAATTGCCAATATATCAGACAAGTACAATCGAAAGTGATTTTTTTTTTCAAAATGACTTTGCTTCAATTTGTTCATTGAGAAAAAGTCAATATAGGTGTAGGACGAAGACATTGTTTACAGAAGGATAACATTTATTCTTACAATCTGATGAGGAGTAGTTTATATAATCCATAATCCATATAATCCATAATCCATATATTTAATATTAATGTTTATTCCTACCATTTTTTCCCCAATTCATAGATTTGTGCAGTACAGTTTTTAAGTTATATAGAGATTACCTCGGCATTTATGCACTTCGAATAATACATATAAATTTTGATAATAAGTGCTTACTTTTTCTTACTCCAACACTGGCACTTATTTATCTTTTAAATATAAATTTTTTTTATAAAATCTTTACAATTTTTTCCCATTTTGAAGAATTAACAGCTAATTTTTCATTGCACTATCTTCGCTCTAGTTTTTTCGCCTCAAACGCTCTTCTTAATCCCGGTCTGATCTTCAAGTTTCTCTCTTATTTCATCTCCCATAACTTTTTTGCGATTCATTCTCAGATAATTCATTATTACGGTAATATTACTTAAATTATCTTCATCGGAGGTGACACCTTGTTATAGTAACCTTATATATGGTCTATAATCGTAATATACTTGACAGCCTTGCTGTTGTTAGTAAGACTACTAATAAAGTAAGTTAATCCGGTGAGAGGCGTAACTATTCATAACTTATCTCAGTTTAATATGGAGATGATTTAGAGGAATGACACTTCAGAACAAGAATTTCACCATTTTATGAACAGGATGAGAGTTCTTAAGGATAGTGTAGGTAATAACATTGAATTGAAGGAGAAAAACTATAGTCATTGCTTATATGACTTATCTTTAATCTCTGATATTTGGCGTCAGACTTAATCGGAATTGACGAAGACAGCAACTTAGAGGCAAAGGACTACATTTTGGAACATAGAATTGTGAATATGCAATAACATATATTCAAATTCTGCAGTATTACATTTCTGCCGGTTCTACTAAAATTTACTTTGCCTTTGGAACATTAAATGGAGTATATATGTTATTTATGCGACATTATATTAATGCCGTATTCACTGAGAGTTAATTTTGCATAATTTCTTCTAAAGTCATCCTTCATCCTTTAGATTATCAATACTATTGTTAAAAGAATATTAGTTCTATTGAATTAAATAAATATGATCTAAGATACAGTCTTGCTTTGGATAAGATGTTTATGTGGGATTGAATAAATTTTGCATACAAATCTAAAGTAATCATTATTAATTTTTAAATAATCTACTGTAATCTATAATCAATGTTTCTTCTCCAATCCGAACAGCAAAATTTAAATTGTTTTAATCGTTACTAGCTTTCAAATCTTCCATCAAATCGTCTGTAAATAATATATATTCACGGATTTGATCCTTTAGGTAAGCAACTCGATCGTATGGGGACGTGAAACAAAAGCTACTGTGCTAGTACTATCAATCCGATATTTTAAACGTTATTTGTTGATATGTTGACTGCTTCATTAAAGCAACGATTTATTTCTTAATTTTTAATTGGGAGACTTATTGATTAAAATTTTTACAAAAATCGTATAGTTATTAGTCTTTGTTTTTGCATCTTAGTGGATTGATTTCATGAGATTTAAGTTAATGTGACGGATCAATGCAGATATAATATTAACTGTCTGTGTTTTCTAGATCAATAAATCGGTTCCAAATAGATAAACTAAACTACCCGATTATCTAGTTATTATAATGGCCAACTTTTTAGAGTCTAAGAAAGCAAAGTCTCTAATAGACCAGACTGTCACCAATATTTGCATCTGTCCACCATCTTAAAAGCCTCTATTGGTGACAGAATGAAGAAGGGAAATAATTACTAATTTCTCATACACAATATTCTTCTTAGAACTATTGATTTCTTTCTATCATTTTGAATTAATTCTCTGACCGATTTTTTGTTGTGATATAAGATATTATATATATTATTTTCAAAATCACATCTCATCAAATTAATCAATACATATAGAGAGTAAGATCTCTCAGTAAAATTATTCCTATAACACCACAAGTGGCTACTTTAATATTCTTAAATAGCCTTGGTTGGTGTTAAACGTACGTCCACCTTAAATATTAAGTCAATACGTTGTCCGAAAAGGCGGTGTAGTAATCGAGTTACTCCCACACTCGAAAAAGTTTAGCAAAGAATCAACAATTTACATTTGGAAAACACGCAGAAGGAACCTCATACGTGCTCTCCTTGTATCCTTGTAGTACGAGTACCGTCAACTATTAGTTTGAGCTGTCAAAAGAAATTGTCATGAGAGACAGAGGGGTGAGGAATACGTATCCTGTGGTTGTGTTAAGAAGTATTTAATATCCAATTATATTTTATTAAAGTCACTTGTAAGTGTGTTACAAGTTGGGAAACATTTGTTAATAAAAACTTGCAACTTTCAAAAGTTTTCCACTTTTTTATTTGCTTCCGATGTTCACCGAGTGAAGGGATGTTGCAGAAGAATGTGGAGAAAATTCCATCTGCACTGAATAATTTACAAGATAAGCTCTTCGGACTAACGTTAAAGCATGTCAGCCATACGATGGAGAAGTTGTCGCTGCTGACAAGCGATAAATTCTGATGTGTGGCTTAATTTTGTAAAGCGGTGAACACTTTTGCATTGGACTTGATAATTAAAAGATATTAGAAAAGAATATGAAGTAAATTGTGTTTAAGCAGACCAATTCGCAAGATCCATACTTTAGGTAATCAAGCAATCTTTAAAGAAGTTGCTTACACTGAGAAGTACGACTCTTTCGTTTGTTGTGGAGATGATTATAGATATCGGCTTGAAGATAACAAGCTAAAAAAAAATGCTTAAAACGCCTCCTTTCAAGTCAACTAGCGGCTGTTTGACTCTTTTCATTTTTGATGAGCGAAACCAAAAAGCAATCATCGGGTGCCAAATCAGAACTATATGACGAATAATCCCTTAATTTGATGTTTTAAAGACTTAAAATATTACTCACATAAAGATTCGTAGTCCTCATAGATCACATAAGAGCCTCTGATGACTCGTAATATTGTAATAAAGAAGTAGTTGGCATTGGCATTTAGTTTTTCTTATTTCTCAGAAGATTTCTGCCCACCATTCAAAAGCCAAAAGCTTCTTTCTTAGTCTAGGCTGATAAGAAATGAGATGAATGAAAGTTGAGATTAAGATTACCGACAACAACAGATTTTGTAAAATGTAGAAGATATTCATATGAGTTTTCGTCAATTAATAAGGCCAGGTTTTTCAACCGCATAACTCGGTTGTTCTAAGTTCTTCTTGTAAGTTCTTTGTATGCTTTATACGTTAGTGAATCTAATATTTTTGTTTTGTTGATATTATCCTGAAAAAGCGATTGTGTAGTTTAAATAAATAATAAATTGTCGTAGATTTTTAAGTGACTTTGACAAAAGCCGTGTCTACTTCAGTAGAAGGGTTTTTTTCTGGGTGGTTTATGATATGACCAACATTTTTCAGTTTTCTTCATTTCGATGTTCCAATTGTAAGGTTTGTCAATTGCAAAAAATTGTCTGGGTTAGCTTAGTAGATGCTTTTCAGGAACAACAGAACAAGTTACGGGTAAAAATATCAAACATTACACGTAACGATACTTAGGGTTGCTAAACCCCATAACAAGTATAGTTACTTTCGTATTACTTCAGAATGATTCTTAGCTAAAAAAAGAATAGTAGCCATTTACTTTGTATTAGATATGTATGATTCTATATATTAAAAGTTATATTTGTTCATTTTGAATAAAAAAAAATGTTTACGCAGTAATCAAAAATTAAAAAGAATTTTGTTTTTCGTACAAAATTTGATTTTCTTTCAAGTAAAGTCAAAAAATTCTGACTAGAAAATTAATTGGCGACTTCAAAATTTGCAACCTCTGAAAATGGGCTACTTGGAGATATTAAATAATCTTAAGAAGTAAGTTTTTCATTTTGATATTTGTTTCTTTTTTTGCATATCCACTAATATTTTACACTTTATTCTTTCCATAAAGGCAATGCATGACTACGTTTTGTGGAAGCAGACCTAATGACTTGCAGTATGAATGCGGACGCCAGTGTCATTCATGGGTAAGTACAATGCATTCAGCTTTAATTTAATTTAATCGGATCACATATTTTATAGGACAAGTACCGTTACCCTTATCGCACATCAGTGGAGGCGAAAAAAAATAATACTAACAATAATATCCAGGACTGGTTTCCCATATATAAACTATTTCCATGTGTCATGGCCGAACAGCCTCAGCCTCAGGAGCAGAGAGCAATGCCTACAGCAAGCTTTCCCCGCAGTTCATGGCATATATGGGATGCCTTAAAATGTAGCTCAGCTACCGTTTAAATACTTGATTACTGCGTAACTACGCCTATGCTACAGTTTCGAGGTACAGTTAGTAGCTGGCGAGTCATTAGAATATTTCCGCACTCATTTACAAGCAATTTTGGAGTTGAAAATTGATGTTTAATGGTCACAAAAGGTTTTGAACGCATTTTTGGAAAGATATGAGCTCAGAAATTTTACGTTTTCGAGATGAATGTTGTTTCTGAACTGATATCTCTGCTTTTCTGCTTTCGATCTTACTCCTCGGATATATTTGAAATTACTGTGAAACTTGTCTTCGAAACCACATACATTAGGACGACACGGAAAATTAAAAAAAAAAACTATGAATTTATTTGAATAAAATTATTTCTACCGTTTTGGAAAGAATCTTGTTTTAATGCATCTCATAAGTCGGTTAGAAAATATATCCAGAAGTGTAAGTATTTGTATATATTCAGTCACACAAAGTAGAATAAAAAGAAACATCGAAAGATGTAGTGAGATACATTAACTTTTTATTGAAAGTCAAGATTCACAATGGAATGATAGTTCACTTATTATAGTATTAGAGTAGTCTCATAGCCTCATAGTATTCAATATGTATTATAGAGATTATCTCCCCAAACAAACAAACAAATAGCTCCATTGGCTACATTGGTACTGAAATAAGTACTTTTTCGTTTCTCTGTTCTCCTGCGATATCTAATCGGTCTTGAGTATAAGACAGTGTCAGTTCTTTACTCGGTAACAGCTGCTTCTTTCATAATTTTTGTTTCTATCTAAATAAAATATGATTGCGAAACTTAATCATTTCTTGTCACTTAGCCCATGATAATTTAGTCTTTGTTGTATGCTCATGTAAAGCTATAATCCTACGGCCATAAAATTCGCCTAACTGCAATCAGTTTAGGGCTGATGGTGGACGAATACGGAAATAGCACAATCCCAGCACTAGATTGTGCTGGGATTAGAATCAAAATAAATGAAACTGGTTTAGTTGAATCGCTATATCGGATTTTCAATATTAAGCGTGAATAGTTTAATGACTGTTTTAGGTATCTTGACGTGAACTTAAAAAAAACTAATAAACATAAAAAATTATAACTCACAACATTACTGCTAGTGTTTGTATCTCTTTCAATGAAGTATATGGATCAAGAAGTAAGGGATCACATTGAACTGTCTACGAAAAAGCAAATCTGCTGACCTTACGTTACACTCACTCAACTTCGATCGAACTTTGCAGTTGTCCTTAGAAGCGAAGACACCTCTCTGACTTTAGTATAAGTTTAGCTAATTATTTTAATGAAAATCTTTTATGAAGAATTGAAATCAGTTAAAAATCTTTTCGTATTTAAATAAAAGTTTAAACTCAGCATATGTCTCTAATAGGTAAACATCAGTGATTGTAAATGCATACTTCTTTTCTGTATATATCAAACAATTGTGTAGGATGAGATAAGCCAAACAGATGATTTCTAATTGACTTTCATACCATTACTTTCTTTTGGAATTCCCACGCATTCTCTGCCAGTTTCGAAGCTTCAAGATTATTTCCTATAAAATGCGGCTTTATTCGATAAATCCTAATACTGTTACAAGTGACTTGCTCTACTCACAAATGGATACACTCATACGCACACATGGACTAAATGTATCTGAAATGTAAGTGTGCAATGCCATACCATAAATATGCTCAGTTAACCAACCGTTAAATCCGTCCTATTTGTCTCATCATCAAATGCGCATAAATTTATTTTATTATGACTCTGCATCATCTTGACGGTTGGGTTGAAAAGATACGAACGCAGATAAATTGACAAATGCGAACTTGACTGCGCGTGTAGTCATGACCTCATCCATGGCAAAATGCAGATATTATTTACGGCACTTGAAATGATGGCAACGCTTCTATTTCTGCTTCAACTTCAGCTTCTGGCAATGTAGCACTTTTGCTTCTGGATGTGAGTGAGTGCTCGAATGGTTTCCTAAGCTTTTCGATTTGTGGACGATTACAAGAGTTTTGGATTGTAAATGCATAACTCATCAAATTTATTTCACCAAAAACATTCGATAAACCGTAAAGGAGAGCTACGTTGGGATACGGAGTACATGGAACAACATATTTGATTTGAATTTTTTTTTAATTACGTTTGCCAGGTGGCACTCAAATTTCGATGTTTTAAGCTTATGGAAAGTATATGACCCACAATTTTACAATAAAATGGATTGCTATTTAGAGCGTAACTCATACGAGTATTTAATTGAAATTTGTTTTCATTCAATTATTTCATTGTTATCAACACCCTGCAGAAATGATATTAATAGTATATCATTTGGAATCTTAAGGAACCCAACACAATTGAATAGTTCATATTAATAAGATTAAGTAGTTCGACATTTCAGTTCAATAGTTCAATAAGTGGAATTGCTTACAAAGTTTAGTTGATTAAACTTAAAATTATATGTGCTTTATTGGTTTTACTTTTATAAAAAGCTTTAGAGTGTTTAGAGTGATGACTTGCAAGATTGAGATGATAAATGATTTCAAATAAATCCATAACTACAATTTTTTTAAATATTTTTTCTACAACTGTGAATTCAATTCTACTTTGAATGCCCCATTTTGGTCTACCTTTTCTCTTGCATTTCTAGAATTCAGTCACTATTTATGCTCTGTTGTTCTTTGAAAGTTAGAGCAATATTTTATAAGTAGATAAATCAACTACTAAGCTTGAAAGTCAACCGACTATTAGAATTTTCAGTTATAAGAAACTATACAGTCAGAAATGCTATACAGGTAATCTGCAAAAAAATTAATTAATAAACTAGTTCAGTAGTTCTTTCAAATGAACTATGTCATTGATCCAGTTTGTATCTGAATTCTGCAGATATCAAAAAATAGCAACACTTTACACTTCTCCATTTATACTATGGCATCAAAATCATTTATAAATAACAACAAAATGTATATTTTGAGTATGTATTCTTCGCAGAATACAAATATGCTTGTAAGAATCTACAACAACTCGATTTTCCATATGCATCAGCTTTTACTATTCTTCTATAAGGATTTAAAGTGGATTCTACCTTCGTCGTAGAGCTTTTATGAAAATGTATGAGATTTGTTTAGAATTGAACTGAGTTCTATGCTTTCACTAAATAATGGTTGTACTTTTGTGTTTATAGCCTAACACAATCACATGGAAGAGCGTCAGCATTTGGATGGAGATCAAGGATTTATTAACTTCAAACAGGGACAGAACTCTCTTTCTAGCTGGAATAATAGCAAGATAGTAAACATTATTGACTAATTATCTACTTTTATGTAGAGTTGACATTCTGTCTCTTCAGACAAACCTGTTTCTGTTGAGATGTTAGCCAACAATATGGTGACCTGACAAACTTTCTTCAGCTGATATCCAGATATTCAGATTTTAGTCCAGAAATTTATATTATATAAATGATCCGATTTCATCGACATACTTTGTGAATTTATTGTCATTAATTTTAGCATGACAAGGCGCCAGTAAATTATTACCAACCATACTTATCGTCTAGGAGTCTCGAAAAGAGCGTTGAAGAGGATAATGCTTTCAACAATGAAAGCATTATCTTTCCTTTCTGGAACGAGTTTTTATTTTCCAACCTCTAAACGGAGAAAGAAATCGTGTTCCCCGAGGCAAAATAGTCAATTCAATTTTTAAAAATTCTTATAACCCAAAGTTTTAATAAATTTTAGTAACAAACCAAATTTTTTAATTTTAAATAATTTAGTTATCTAGTTATACTCTTAGCAAAGATTTTATTTTGTAAAGCAGAAGTGAAAATGTCTACCTATTGGAAGTCAAATCGTTTCAAGAAGTAAGTCATGACTTAGCTAGGAAATATTGTTAACTTATTCATTCTTCCATTTTAGAGATTATCTTAGAGCTGTTGCGCACTTTGAGGAGGAATATCAGGATATGCATCGCCGGATCAGCTCTGGGACTTTAGACTATGGTTGGCCGCAACTGGAGCCGAGTACCGCTTTCAACAATGTAAGTTCATTACATAAAGAACTCAACCGTATATTATCACGTATTGCACTTTTAGTACGATACAAACGATAGTGCTATGGTTCTTGAGCAGACCATGAATGAATTTTTTCCTATTAATCCTGAAGCTGAAGCAATACGCCATGACTGCTTTCCTCAATTCTGCGAAAGTTGTGCTGACGACTGGACAGTCGACTATGATGTGGTAGCCCATGAGGCCGCCGAAATTATACGGAAAGTCAGCTCAATGCATACCTCAGTTAGAAAGAAGAAACGCAAAAAAAATCGTAAGTGAGTCTCTAATCTTGAAGGAGCAACTTTTGAAACGGAAAATGTTTTATTTTTATTTTTAATTCTTTACATTAAATAAATAAAAGCGGTCAATAAATATCTGATCACTCATTTTAACTTAATTTTAAAGTTACACAAATATCCGTAAAAGAAAAAATAAAACTGAAATGACAATATTCAGCGGCATGCAGATTTATGCTGTGCTCATCTGCTGCCATTCAGGGAGCAGCTCCCAGAAACGAAATGAACTGCCGTTAATAACCTCGCCTCACCGAAATGGAAGGACGGCAAAAAAAATTGTATGAAATTACGGAAGCGAGGAACATGAGGAAACCGAAGTATTGAAATAAAATTCAATATGAAAGTTTTAAAATCGAAAGGGTTGGCTCATTGGGGTCAACGGCGCTAGCTTCATTTAGACCGATGTGGGTGGATGGGGTGGTGTGAGATGGCACTGAAAGAAATCGTTGGAGTTGATTAAATGACAAAGTAAACAGAAGCGAATGTAAACATTTTAAGTGGTTCCATTTTCAGAAAAGAGCTTAAATGGCAATGAGCCAAGAGTATTTTGAATAAATTAATTTGGTTTGTGTGGTTATGGACCGCAATGGCATGCCGTTCCATGTGTTTCCATACCCTGCATTTCATAGTGCGCCAGATATTGTTGAAGTGGCCTTTATTACGAGCATTTTAAGTTAGCTTTGCATAACGTGATTGACTCAAATAAATTGATACGTAGACCAGACAATAACTTTTACCCAATATTTCATGAATTCTGCCGTATCCTTCGCCACTCTTAACTTACTCCATTTTCCATTTAAAATGTGCGCATATAAGTATGGGAGTTGAAATCTTGCTATCAAATCAATGAAACTAACATTCGGTTAATTGATTTAATTGCATATAAACAGTGTCCATCTTGTGCCTGACATCACCGTATCCTTGTTATAGTTGATCAGGACATTTTTGAACTGCATGGTGAACAATGTGAGCAATTATTTTAGGCTTTTATTGTAGGTATGCGATATTACAAATTACATACATAATGCACATGAAGGGTCTCTCTGTAGTGAAGTCCATAGATGTATATTGGCAATTTTTGCTACCAAAAAATAAATTTGTTAAAAGGAAATAAATTTTGGTTTTTGAGCTCTTTGAGGTTTAATAAACATCATATATGTAAAGAGCTTTATTGTTCGAATTCTTGAATTCTTTTTTAAATAGATCATAAAACTCAATGAGAATGTCATAACCTCTGTGTAAGGTTTTATGCAACTCCCCTAAAAGCTGAAGCTTCAGTTCGTCGACAAATATCTGCATACAAACAAACTGCAAAGAAGACAGAAAGACAGGTAGACAAATAGGCAGATAGAGAGATAGACATATATTTAGTATATTAATATAAATAAAAAGACCACAGACTGGTCTTTTTACACAGACTGCAAAGCAGAGAGGTAGACAAACATAGCGACGCAGACAATATTAACGGTTTGTATTGAAATATAACATACATATGGGATATTGGACATACAAGTAAATAAATAATCGATAGCCCTTTCAGACCAATTGCAAAGTGGTGTCGTACAGTAACTTTTTGTGGATGCAATGTATAGAAATAGACTGCTCCAGATATGACAATTATCTCGTTGGGTATACGCTAAGATTAAGTCTCAATATCATAGTTACCTATAATCTTCTAATAATGTGCGGATTGTATCTACAAGACGTTGGAGTCCGCCATGATGAAATCCTGTCGACAAATGTACTCTATGTTTTCCTTTACACATTTACAAATTTTTGCTGTTAAATCCAAGACAATTGAGAACTGTTCGTTATATTTTTTACAGACATTTCCTAAGAGCACTTTGGATCATGTAAAGATACTTCAAGTGATGTTTAAAGTTGTTCACAGCAACAGTAATTCCTGTCGTGATATCATCGTTTAATAAAACTAAAGCATGAGATCCCAAATTTTTGCAGCTGTGTATATGTTTGACTGCGTTTGACCATCCCGAAATCCTTCATCCTGCAAAATATTTTCCCTGTAATTAGCGTAAAATGTTTAAATTAAAGAACAACAAATTTGTTTGCAATGCGTGTGTTGCGGTTTATACGCGACGACAGCTAAGGCAATGCCAACGCCTAGGCTTAGAGCAGTGCAGTCCAGCAGCGAATAGAGAGGTTTTGTGCCGTCATAACTATGGGCATCCAAATACGTTTGTTTCGGAAAATTTGCTTTGCCGCTGCGGCGATTCGATGAGTTTGCATTGCGTTTGGTGCATTGCGTCACGCTATTACGTAGAGACGCTAACATAACGCTGGGTTTACGATTTACAAAAACTTCGCTGGCCACCAACTTGGGATTCGTAGTTATTGTTCTTCATACGAAATAGCGGTGTATGTGTGTGTTGGTGCATGTGAAAATGTGTGCGTGCATTTTTTGTCGCATGCATTTACCGGTCATTAAAAGTGCACATTTACTCCGTGGTCTCGATGCAACTGAAATATCAACAAACAAACTCGTCTGGGGGGAATGGAAAAAGGCGTACGATGATGCGTTTGAAGCGATTACGACATGGTTGGCTTACGTGGAAAGGTGGTAGGAAGAAGGGATTATATAGTTTTCAATGGTTTTAATTGTGCGTACAAAGCGGAAATGTAAAATCGGAATAATTTTCTTTTGCTAACCTGGGTAACGTTATGAGAATTCACTTTTCGGGCAGGTCCCGATTGCATTTGTGTTCCGTCGCATGCAAATATATTACGTGGACTTTGCATTTTTTGAGTTTTTCCACAAGTTTATTTTAGTCATAAAGCTGAATTGCTGGCAAATAAAATCTTCCAAGAACTTTTAATAAGAATTTTATTTGCTTGAATTTAACATATAATGAGTAATAAGAAATTTTTACTATCAAATCGCACGGCATGGGGGGATTTACTGGAAAGTGGAATAAACAAGGAAAATGCAATAACCATATACATTTTAAACTCCATATATTGTTGATTGAGGAATTTTTAGGAACGTTTGAATGCACCAATAAGCTTTCAATCAATAAAATCTTAATAATACATATGCGTACATAAGTAAAAGTAGAAGCACCTCGGATTCTAGAGCAACATTAAAACAAGACTGAGTTTTCTGAAATAAAATTGGTTCTTACATTGAACTACAGGACAACATGAAACTAAACCATATTCGCTGATATGCCGTAAAGTGGTGGTCAAGTCTTACCATTTTTTATGGAACTACGACACTATCTAGATGTACATCCAAGTATTATGTAAACACGTTCTTCGTTTAAATTTTGCACAGGAGCTCTATTTCAAAAATTAGCCAATTATCCACATTAATCGCGTCCGATAAGTTTTAAAGCACCCTGTACTATTCAAACAACTTCAAAAAATGTGAAAATTAAAACACTTTTTATTTATTTGTAGGGGACAGATCTTATCTATTCTCTTTTACCTTTTTAACCTAAACACGAAACACTAGCTTTCGTTCCAGCAGTAATAAGAGCCAAAGCTGTTTTAGCATGCTAATCTTCACAAACCTTAATACAGACTAGGAAAAAGTTTTGACTTCAGGCATTAAACTACCAAAATACAGATTTTTTGATTAATTCAACTGATATTTGATTACAATTATAGGAAAATTCTTTAAGAAATCTTGATGTTTTCTGTCGAAATGAGAGCGAAATGATGAAGTATAATTAAATAAAAAGTAAAGAGTTTTAGGCGCACCTCACAGCCCGTCTATCTGCTGCAGACGACAGTATCAACTAATATAGTCTGTTTGATTTCTTATTAAGAATTTTAACCGTATATTGCATGGAATATTTAATAGCAATATGCTTTTGTTAAAAAACTCTTTGCTCTTTGAAAGCCCCGCGAAATACGTTTCAGCATTTTTTGTGGAATCTATACTTCTTGAGTTTTTTTATTCTGTTTTCTGTGTGATAAGCCCAAAATTCTTGTTATGTGATTAAGTAGGAAAATAGTTATAAAAGAGATTCTTCAAACAGTGGAATTGCTTTGATGAATAATGTGACTCTGTTAAGTTAGTCAGTCAGTTGTTCCCTGCAGGACTGATTAAATATTTATATATATATATATACAAGTACCATAGGATATGTTGAAAAATCAAAAGCAAACACGTTTTCCTCTTGCTGAAGAAGGAGTACATGCAATAATGTGCGAAAAAAGTTATTGGATTATATATTTTTAGCCTCTTAACTGGAACTGTTCTCCATTGAGATGAATAAAAACATCATTCTATTTAGGACTTTAGCTCGACCCTAGTTTCTAAAATTAAGACACCAAATACCTTGACAGTGAGACCAAAGTTCTCTTGATATCTCTCCTGAGATGTATGTTCAATATAGTCTGTATTCATTTTATTATTCTCATTAAGAATAACTAAAAGCCAGTGCGCGTGTCGTAAGATATAGGTTGCGATATAGTTCAGTAAGTCAGACATTCAAAAAATCATAATGGCAATAATCCGGCAATCTGTTCGAGTAGCAGACTACTGAATCATTCACCTCAGCCCATCTCTGCAAACATATTTCACTTACTTCGCATTAATGCGTCCATAGTGTGACGCTTGCCATACTCTATATAAATTCAGCTTATGTTGCGGTTTAAGCTCGGCTTGAGCGTAATGCCATTGTTAAAGTTTTATCAAATTCGGTTTTGAGTTTATGCTCTGTTTCCGCAACGTTGCCGCTACACCGCTCCTGTGGACACACAGTGATACATGAAACGGTACTGTGTCGTGGAGTGTATGAGCGAGTGACCCAAATGTTTGGTATTTGCAACAATATAAACTTTTGTATACTGTCATTGGAGCATATATAAAATATCCTATGCAACATTTGCCGAATGCGTCCCATGCGACATTTCATGAACAAACTTTCTGTTGGTGCCGATGCCAATGCCGGTGCTGTTACTTCAATATCCCATACGAACGTACATAAATCACAAAACGGGAACCATAAATCTAAAGTGTGACGAGAAAAAAGGATGGGAAAAAACTTTTATTACATAGCAAAAGTGAAAAGCGAAAGAAGTAGCAATCAGTTGCGA